TAAAGAATGACGCGCATTCTAGATTGGAAAGTGATGAATCCATATTCATATATTCGAAGGCGATAATTCACTAATTTGTCTTCTCAAATCAGATTTCGATAAGTCGTATGATATTTCGATTTGACGCATATTAATGGCATGTTCTTGATGAATATAATATGCACATTATCGGTGTAATATCTCCTACACACTATTCGATGGTCAAATCAATAAATGACCATAGTTTATTGTGGGAGAGACACTAACATATAATAAATTCGAGAGTGGAGTTTGTATTTCTAGAATGAGAATTATCAAAATATCAATTACCTTCAAATGACATCAAACGTGAGTATTTACACAAACGAAAGTAGTTGAAGCTCTTTCAATACTTAACATGTGGTTTCATTCCAATAGCTCACGAGTCAAGTTTATAAGCATGTGACCTCCCACACACTATTCTAAAAGGAAGAAAGGGGTTTGATCAGTCGTCTTTAGCAAGATGTCATATCGATCAAGTACATGCGATGTGACCTCATCATCCCAGCTAAGATGAAAATGGAGGCGACACAATTAAGTACATTTGCTTTTAGAGAATAATGTACTTTCGTGGCGTTTTGCTTAGCAATAGCTGCGTGGCCTGTCACATAGGCAGAGGCGTAACAATAATCTTTCAAGTCCAAGGTCTTGATCATAAATATGAATATGAGGTATGATAAGTGCATTTTATACATTTATTTAGAGTACAAAATATGGACAATTGTTGGTAAATATATCGAATGTGGCTTAATTCTATATAAATTATATTTTGTAGGATATAATTGATGAACATGGTGGAATTCAGGAAAAAAGAAGCGAAAAAAGACTAAAATGGAAGAAAATCAAAGTTTAAAGACCAAAGTGCAAATATTCGAAAGATGAACCAAAAGAAGAAATGAAGATGTGAATGAAGACCAATTTAATGAAGACATGAAGTGTTGGAGGAAGAAAAATCGAGAAAGGAGATCATGAAACGAGAAAATTAAGTTCGGAGACCAAAACGCAAAGAATGAAAGTATGCTTAAACTATGCTATAGCAAAGTTCTTTTAGCCATGCAGTCGCATGTTGTGATGCAGGGCCTTCTGGAGCTGAAAATGGTTGAACTATGTAATAGAATTAAAATGTACTATGCAATAGCATAATGTATTTTCAGAGGAAAAATTTTGGTTTCCTTATATGATTTCAACTCTTATGAAAACAAATCTTGGGACTACTTTCAAAGACCTAAGGTCATCCAAAAATGGCTACTACGCATTACAACACATTTTAAGAGATTTTGGGAGTATAGAAGGAGGCAAGAATCATGAAGATAGATTTCAAGGCTCGAGGAGTCAATTCAAACTTTATTTGGTTGATATCGATTCTTCAATATTTCTTTTATTCTCTTTCTCATAACATGTTATGCTAGTTTTCTTTGTGCTAAAAGAATGATAAATTATGTAATATGAATTTTTAATCTTTAGTTTTACATATTTGACATTGAAAACACGTTTTTGGATATTGAATGATTTATATGATTTTTTTCTCCACATTATTGTGCACGGTAGTCGTGTGAATGTGGTGGCCTATTTTATGCATTCGAAAGAAAGAAATATGTTCAACATATATAAATTGTCATAGAGTCCGACATGGGATATAAATATGTAACTATGCTCTATGTTAATCTTTAAATATTCATAAAAATTTATACATTCTTGTATATTCGCATCTGTTATAGAAATATAGTCAAGTCATATATGAGAGTAGGTTTAACATTACTCGTGAGAGATTTTTAAATAAAATAGGAATATGTAACTAACTATGCTCTATGTGAATCTTTAAATATTCATTAAAATTTATACATTCTTGTATATTCGCATTTGTTATAGAAATATATTCGAGTCATATATAAGAGTAGGTTTAGCGTTACTCGAGAGAGATTTTTAAATAAAATAGGAAAATTGATTCCTCAAAATTCAATTGTGTTGTCAAAGTGTAGAATTAAGGTTAAAAAATGGATTATGGCACGGGAATTCGGGATCTTAGTGCGTTTGTCATTTATTAAACACATCAATTTGCATTTAGTTTAGTTAATTTACTCGTAATTGCATAAATAGATCAATTTATTCACAATTTTATCACAAACAACACATCATATTATTCTTGTTTCAGTTAAGGTTGCGATAATTAAAATTGATCTAATCAATTTCTGTAGGGCGATACTTGGACTCAAAATCCATTTTATTACTTGCTAACGAACCGTACACTTGCGGTGGTTTTAATTCGAAATATATTTTCATAAACAAGGTATACGACTTTGACATGGTTGCAGGCATTTGTTTCCTAAAGGAGGAGAATCTCCAGGAAAGTTGATCGTGTTGTTGAAGCGAAAGGCATTCATTA